CTGTGTCCTTCAATGAGATCTAACAATCTCCTCTGTGTCCTTCAATGAGATCTAACAATCTCCTCTGTGTCCTTCAATGAGATCTAACAATCTCCTCTGTGTCCTTCAATGAGATCTAACGATCTCCTCTGTGTCCTTCAATTAGATCTAAAGATCTTGGCTGTGTCCTTCAATGAGATCTAGTTGTAATTGGTGAGGGTGCTCTCCGCACACCTTTCAGCAAAGCAAGGAGGCCCCCTATTTGGGTACGTTTTTTCTTTGCTGAACTATATCGGCAACCACACACACAATCACTTCTGTTGTGACCTTTAAAAGAAACTGTGATACAACATGGAACCACAAGGGGAACACAGTGAGGATATAACTTACACCTGTGCATTCAACAAACATGAAATTGATTCCATACTATTTCCTGCTAACCCTGTCGCAGCATTCGGCTCTGACTCTGCAATCGATCTCTTCAGAGACTTAAAGAAACTGAAGAAGAAACATGTGGACCTGGAATTACACTGATTTACTCTCTCTGAATATTACAGAGCGAAAAAAATCCCCAGAGGGTTCCGGATACGAAACCAACCCACTATAGGAAGACAGAGTAGAGAATTCTGTGATAGATGGTGTGCAATTTCCACACAAAATTCGTTTAACTACATGCTTCTTGTGATTGAAGAAATTAAAACACAACTACTTCAAATTGGCAAAGACATACTACTACAAGAAACAAAGATTCGTAACAAAATGGCTGATGATGTTGCATTCAACGTTGAAATAGAAAAGATCAATTCTGAAACACGTATTTATGCAGACAAAATTCGTGCTGCAAAACGGGAAAAATTCAAACAAGTTTGCCAGGACTACCAGGATGGTAGAGTATATCCATGGCTTACTGGGAATACATTCCAAAGACGACGCAGAGGCGGAGCCTTTATACGTGGAGGGTCGAGACAACGTTTCAACAAACGGAATACCAGCTCCAGTGAGAGCGAACGCCCCACTGAAAACCCGTCAACGGATAGTGATGTAACTACAACACAAACACAGGATACTGCTACTACAGCGGGACCAGCCCCCTCATCTACTCCTTTTTTAGGAAGGACCACAAGAAGCGCACAAGAAGAAGTAGGAAGAAGAAGATTCTCGGGACCATCCATCAACACAAGACAACAACGGATGAAAAATGTCCGATAATTAATTTATCATCTAGAACCATCTCTGATGTTGAAAACCATATCCTCAGCAAAGGTCTCTTTCTGCCCATCCCCAAGTTTCAATGACTTCCAGTTTGAGGTTGATACTTTCAAGCTGGAACGCTCGTTGAAACTAAAACAATATTTCAGTCATCAATCTTGTACCAAATGCATAGATTCATCTACCAATAAATTCAAGAATAAGAGTTCCTTTATACCACCGGGACAATTTGCCTCCATCGAGACATATATTAGGACGGTCAGATATGATACTCGTAATGTTATAGATCAAAGAAGAATATACAATCGTCCAAACTATTCAAACCTGACAAAGGAAGAATTGAACGCCTTGAAAATACTACAGAAGGACGACTCCATTATTATGAAGCCCGCCGATAAAGGGGGAGCCATCATCATTATGGACTATGCCAACTATAAAAGAGACATGTATAATCTCTTATCTGATTCGTCTACATATCTCCAGATCCCACATGATCCTCTAAACTCAATTCTCAAAAAATCGTCATCTTTAACCTACCTGGCCCTGGACCAGGGATGGATATCTGAAGATGTTGCTGAGTGGCTTTACAACATACATGCTCGCACACCAGTAATATACGGAGATGCAGAGAAAAAAGTGCTTTTTATAATATTGTTATAAATTTATTTTTTAAAGACAATATTGCCAACAGAAAGCATTGTTTGTCCTAAAAATGATTTATGTATCACTTTATTAGAGAGTCCGGAGGGATGATGTGCAGCCAACTGGACGAGGGCATGTGAACAGGAAGTGGCTGAAATAGGCTGCAGGAGATCAGCAGAATTGAGACGTAACAAACATAAAAACAAGATTAAAAATTCCCCCGTTAGGTGACTCTCTCAATGTTCTTTTCAACCTTTTATTGTATGCGTATAAACGATTTTACCGAGCCCATGTCTCACCGCTCTAAGGGGGCCCTTTATGCAGAGACGGGGAGACTTATAACAGCGGGACCTCTTAAAGCGGAAAGTTGTATTTCAAGGTGCGCCAGCGTTTCGCAGGATGAGGATCTCTGTGTGAGTCCCGGCTGGGCACTTGGCAGCTGCCCCCCCTGTCAGCACAAGAAATACAGTGTCTGGGTTGAGTTCTCTACTGTATAGAGATGACTGTGTTCTGATCAGAGATGCAGACTTCTGGATCTGCCAGTTACCAAGGAGCGGGGACACAACGGGACTGAAATTGGGGCCGGCTTGCCAATTTTACAGACATCATTTACTTGGAAGAAAGCTTCGGGCTCCGTGCTGATTATATTCATAATAACAGCGGCTTCTGTTCTCTTTCCATTCGCATTAAAGCGGAATTCTAGTTTGACCCGAACAAGCCAATGCTATGGTGGTGACGGGGGGGCATTGGGGATGCTAATTACACACCAAGGACCCATGTGTATTGTTGTCAGTAGTCTTATATAATCCGTCCACTCAATCCCTTATGATAATCCCATTGTAAAGTTTAAATTCTAGCCAAAACTCTTTATTTTGTTCTGCATGGAGCAGGAAAGTGTTAAATCTAGGTAGTTATGGCTGTCTGTGTCGAGATAGGGAAGTGGTGGAGAATGTCCTCACTGGGGACACAGGGGCAGGAGGTGATGGAAAATGTACTCAACAGGGACACAACGACAGGAAGTGATGGATAATGTCCTCAATGGGAACATAGGCACAGGAAGTTATGGAAAACATCCTCAATGGTGGCACAGGGACAAATAGTAATTGAAAACATCCCCAATGGGGACACAGGGACAGGAAGTGATGGAACATGTCCTCAACAGGGAGACATGGAGATGAAATGATCAAACTCAACTGGAGCACAGCGACATGAAGTGATGGAAAATGTATTCAATGGTAACAACGGCAAAGGAAGTTATGAAAAACATCCTCAATGGGGGCACAGGGACAGAAAGTGGTGAAAAAATGTCTTCAATGGGCATTCAGGGACAGGAAATGAGAAAAAATATCATAGGGTAACCGACAGAAATAAAAACCCAACCAAAACTGTAACCCTTCTCCACACATCCAAAACTAAATAAAAATATGAATCTATGAAAGAACTGAAATCCAAAGAAAGGAAGCGATGGGAGATTAAGCCATTTCAGTCCAGGAGAGGAGCCGGTACAACTGTGCAGGACTGAAGGGAAGGACGGAGTTCAGCTTTAAGATATCAGTCCCCCCATTCGAATAGATGTCACAGACTCAGGTTGGCTCTTCAGCGTTGGGTTAAGGGGCATCTCTATGACAATTGTTGTCCCTGTGTGTCCAGGCAGAGATGTGTCTTATTACCTCGTGTCTGATGGTCTCCTTTGGCAAGACATCTATAACGGCGAGAAGTGTGTCCAGCCACGCATTGCTCACACCTGCCACATAAACATCCAATTAGAGAGAATGGTTGCAGTATGTTTGTATAACATTACATGACCTGAACTGCACAGAACAGATAGAAACAGCTGTACATTCCATTGTGTCACACATTACTAAAGAGCACCTGTCACCTTCACAGTGAATGGGCTTGCAGTGTATTATGCTCTTAGATGGGGAGTTTTGAAACCCTGTTATGGATTGTGTGCATGGGCGTAGCTCATCAGTGTTTGACATGCGCGCCAAATGCAGGTCAGCAGATTCCAAATGACCTCAATGGCGAAATCTGGATGACAGTCCTGAGGCTACGTATGACCTGCTTTGCATGTATTTCTCTGGACGGCACATGTCCTATTCCAGAAGTACTTTTATTGCAGGCAAAGCAGGTCAAGTGCAGCCATGTGCATTTGAATGTATTCGATTGAGCTGCAAATAATTGCATTTGAAATCAAAGCCCATGTACGCAACTCCTTAGCCTGGGACTCTACAATATGCGCCATGCTGTATTAGAGGAGTATAGGGTCGTCCCATACACAGATGGCACCAAAGCACTAAACTGGTTCTATCTGTACTGGACAATACATGGGCAATCACAACAACATACAAGATTTGGGTAATGGTGGCATTACACAGGCAACAAATGGGCAACTATTACTATACATGGGCAACAGATAGACATTCACAAGAATATGCATGCAACAAAAGAGTGGTAACAATGATGGCAATACGAAGGGAAACAAAAGGGTAATGGTGGCAATACAATGGCAACAAAAGGGCAATGGTGACAATACATGGGAAACAAAAGGGCAATGGTGACAATATATGGGAAATAAAGGGGGTAATAGTGGCAATACAATGGCAACAAAATAGCAGTGGTGACAATACATGGGCAATGACAGGGCAATGGTGGCAATACATGTGAAAGAAAAGGACAATGAAATGGCAACAAATACATGTGAAAGAAAAAGACAATGAAATGGCAACAAAAGGGCAATGGTGACAGTGCACGGGCATTGGTAGCAAAACATGGGAAACAAAGGGCAATGGTGGTAATACATAGGGAACAAAAGGGCAATGTTGACAGTACACGGACAATGGTGGCAATACATGAGAAACAAAGGGCAATGGTTACAATACACAGGAAACAAAAGGACAATAGTGACAATAGATGGGAAACAAACAGACCGACAGACAGGTGTGACAACATACAGACAAAAAACAGGAAGTTGAGACAATACACAGGCAACAGACAGATGTGATGATATACAGGCAACAAACGGCAAGTCAAGACAATACACAGACAACAAACAGGAAGTCGAGACAATACACAGAAAACAAACAGGAAGTTGAGACAATACACAGACAACAAACAGGAAGTTGAGACAATACACAGACAACAAACAGGAAGTTGAGACAATACACAGGCAACAGACAGTTGTGATGATATACAGGCAACAAACGGCAAGTCAAGACAATACACAGGCAACAAATGGGAAGTTGTGACAACATGCGGGCAAAAAGTTGAGACAATACACAGACAACAAACAGGAAGTTGAGACAATACACAGGCAACAGACAGTTGTGATGATATACAGGCAACAAACGGCAAGTCAAGACAATACACAGGCAACAAATGGGAAGTTGTGACAACATGCGGGCAACAAACATGCAATGTTGCCTATGTATGGCCAGCTTAACATGTATATTTATGAGTGCTGATAGCGGGATTCTGTATACGGAGGTCAGTGTGCCCCTCACCCGTGTCTCTGTGTTCCAGGTTCTGCAGGATAATCTGGAGGAAGGACAGGCAATAAGAGTGGACCGGTACCGACTCCTCTTGCAGTATCGTCAGGAAAGAATAGGCTGCGGTCAGCTGCATCTCCACTCCAGCCACATGGAGAACCTCCTGCAGAGGGGACAATGTTACACATTAGAAGAAGAATCCTCCAATAAAAAGGAATCGCTATTAAAAAGTAACTTGCTAAACAGACATGACAAACTGCTGATTTTTGGGCCCCATTTAGCCCTTTTACTCCTTAGCGGCCCCAGCTGTTCTCTAGATGGTAACTGAAACACTTTCTGATGTCAGTCTGAAGCTGAATACTTCAGGAAATATCTATTAGTAGTCACTCACATTCCCCTGGACTTGTTCTGTAATGTTGAAGACATTTTTATAAAGTCTTATGTCGGGATACATTTTATTAAGTGCCCCTGGAGGTTTAGAAAAAAAAATCCTCCTCTTCAGCACTGACCCTCGCAGTACTTCTTCTCCACCACAAGATGTCCTCAGTCATCTTCTGGATTGACTGATGCCCAGTGTTATTCAACCCAGAAGACTGAGGACATAGTGTGAGTGCAGGGCACCATGGAAGGGGCATCACCATGGTGCTCTACAATCACAGTATATTAGTGCAGAGGGTGGCTCTTGATGCAGAGAGCAGAGCCAATGTCATCCCGTCAGAACTGCACAATGTAACATCAAGGAGAACCTGCGTGTCATGTGACGGGCCTGAAGACACCTGGAATGTAAATATAAAGGCTACATATAAAAAAAGCATAAGTTGCACATGAAGGGGGGCTGAATGGGGGGATGCATTCTCTTGGAGGGGAGAGGAGCCCAGAGTTGAGTTCTGCTAAATATTCCCATTTAAAGGATCAGCAGGATTCTATTAATAGATTCAAGATGCACTGTTCCTTTTATCCCCACAGTACATGGAGCCTATAGACTGCAATCCAGCACGACACATTACAAGCAGTAATAACTGGCAGATGGAAATGTCATGTCTGCCCTAACTTCACTTTGAATGAAACTTCTGCCCCTTCTCCAGCGAGCTATGAAACAATTTGTCTGTTACCATGGCGGCAAGCGGGGAGGAAGCAAGGTTAACAGCCGCGTCTGTACAGATCAGAGGAACAGAACATCCCCGTATTAAAGGGCCACGCGGGTGAAAAAGATTATATTCACCCAACAGACCATAGCTAACGATGGGACGCCTCCAGTGTTGGATGTCCTTGAAGTTCAAACTCCTTTGAATGGGACTATGGCTAAGGAAAGATTGGCGGCTACTGCATTGGATACCCATGAGAGATTCCTTAAAAATCTAATCCCCATGGATAACCTACTCAACCTAAAGTTAGATCTGTGGATTTGTGATAGGGGGTTGTTGGGGTGTCTCGGGAAGAAAGGTTGTCCTCTCCTCCACAACCTCTCCGTGTTCCAAATGTTCCTCTTCTCCTTTACTTCCTCCTACCGTGTTTCCCCAAAAATAAGACACTGTTTTTTGGCTCAAAAAAACGCACTAGGTCTTATTTTCGGGGTAGATCTTTCTTCTTCTTTTTTTAATGTACAACAATCCACACGTATTCATGTACAACAGTCTACGTGTATTCATGTACAAAAATATGGTGATCAGGGCAATCAGGGGTGCCGTACCTTTCCAAGAGCAATTTGCTAACCAATCGCTGGCCAGAATGAGCGAAGCGCGCTTTCACTATGGATTCCTCACAGGCGGAGTGCATTTGGTATCACTCCGCCTGTGACAGGAGGCGGCGCTATAGAGGAAACATCGGCTTATGCGGCTCTGCTCCCTCCGCTGCCACCTCGCTTCCCCGCGGCTCTTCAAGTTCCACCTTATGCCACCACCGGCCCTGGGAATGGTCACAACTAGGTCTTATTTTCGGGGTAGGTCTTATATTTTAGCAATTCCCAAAAATAGTACTGGGTCTTATTTTCGGGGGAAACACGGTAGACACACTTCTTCCATACGCTAACAACCCAAGAAGCCACAATAATGGGACTTTTAAGGTACAACATTTTATCTCCACTGCATTCAATGATGCTAAAATGTATTAATAGCCATCAATAAAGTGAAGAGAATGAAGGGCACTTACTCTGACTTTTGGCACGACTCTCCGCAGAGTATCCCCAGGATTCTGGCGAATAAGCACTGGTAGGTTGGCCACCACGCTGGTTCCCTGGATGTCCTGGCCGGAGCTGCAAGTAGACGACATTGAACGTGAGTCTTTCTCAGCAAATATCACATGACGGGTCGGACACACAGCCAATCAAAAATAATCTGTGAACCGTCTTTGAGCTAACGGCGCTCAGAGTTGCTATACCCCACCACAGACAAACTACAACTCCCCGCCCCCCCAATGCTTGTACAAAATGACTTGTGTGGTTTGCCGGACAAGTTTTCATTAGTGACCTGGTAAGAAGATCCCACTGAGGTGTGAAATGCTACAACCTAAAGCTGAAGTTGAATCTGCTTCTATTTTGCCTTCTCACTTCAGCACCATTATCATTCATACTGATGTATATTAATATCATTATAAAGTCATTTTCAATATTTTTAAACCTATGCCATTCAAAAAAATTAAACTTGGTGATCCTGCCATGAAGGTCCTTCCTCTTAAAGGATGACAACGCTCTGCCCTTATTCCTTTAATCCAATCCTGCGTTGTCACCCTGTCCCATGCATTTCTAGTGGAGACTACAAAGGGCAACTTCAACACACATTACACAGACATGGTCTACTGTTGTCACCAATAGGAAACATGCCCGTAGAAATGCACTCCAGCCATGGCTGGAGTGCATGTAGACAGGAAGTGGCTACGAAGAGAGAGATCAGCATAAAGGATGAAGAAATGGTCATTGTTGATGACACATGGTGATCTAGCACACTACTGTAAATGCCATCCAGCCAGGGTTTACATCTACGTTCATTCATCTATTATTGTGAATCTCTCTGTATTACCTCCGGCTGCGGAGGAGCTGACACTCTACGGAGATTATACCGATGCATCATACGGTGACCCTTCTCTCACACGTCATTACAAGTGAAGTACTAAGAAAACATCTATTGTGCCGCAGTCCCACGCTGCCTGTCTCCTTGTATCCCGGTGAATCACAGACGGAACAACACTAAGTGCGGCCTTAGCGAGGGAAAACAATAGGAAGTGCAATGTCTCATACAAAGACACCGAGAGAGTCTTGTAACTCTTCCAGCACCGGAAAAGAAAAACGCGGCACGGGGACAAACATGGAGCGGAGACACAAAGACCATTTACACTGCACATGTAACATATGGAACAAGCGCACAGAACACAAATCTTCCCCTAATAAGGACCGTCTCCCACAACTGCTCCATTCCATCTGACGACCGTCCTAAAAGCGAATGATCCACCTACCATAGGTGAGTACATCACTTATCCCTCTCACCAAGCCTCACCACATTTATTGCGCCAGGTAGTGGCGCTTCCGTTCTCCAATTTTGTCTTCCTCTAGTACACCTGTTGGACACCACGGTCCGAACACCACGGAAGCTGCACACCTGCAGAGCAAAAAGTCGCTCCCTTTTCTCTAAGATTTCAAATCCCCAACCCACAACCCCCCCCCTCCTCTAAACTCTCTCCTTCAAATTCATTCACGAACGTGGTACCCACCAAGTACCACCACTCATCCCACCTTTTTTCGAGCGCCACACATGGGGTAAAAACTCTCTAAATTTTTCACGTTATGCAAATATCAAAATGCCGGGATGGGCGGGTGTCAATCTGGAGGAGTGGGCGTTCCTAGGCAGACTGTATTTGCATAGGCAACACCCACATGTGATGCTGAGCCTTTATGATTGAAAGAACTGAAATCCAATTAATGAGAGGGGTGGGCCAGGGAATGCATATGGACATCCTCCAGCCAGGGAATGGCGCCGGACATCCTCCAGCCAGGAAATGAGGCGGGCCCTATTTGGCTTGCTGCAGCTTCTAACGCACAGTGTGAGAAGCTCAGTGCATACACACAGTTATATGCATTTATAGGTGCATGGAGGTTTGCCAAACCCGGTTTCCTGGCTGGGTTGAGCGAACACCTAAGTGGGCCAAACCCAAAGCCACCTGTGTCCTAGCAACCAATGATGCTGTACTGCCCATTCACTACTATCCTAGCAACCCATGACGCTGTGCAAGTCATACAACTTCACTGGTTGCTAGGTGGCTCTGGGTCAGTCCACTTAGGCATTCACTGAACCCAGATTCCTGGCTGGGTTAGGTGAACACCAAAGTGGACCAAACCCATAGCCACCCGTGTCCTAGCAACCAGTGATGCTATGCTGCCCATTCACTAGTATCCTAGCAACCCGTGATACTATGCAGCCCACTCATTAGTATCCTAGCAACCCATGACATTGTGCAAGTCATATAGCATCACTCGCTGCTAGGTGGCTCTGGTTCGGTCCACTTGGGCATTTACTGAACCCGGATTCCTGGCTGAGTTAGGTGAACACCCAAGTGGACCAAACCCAGAGCTTCTTGTACCCTAGCAACCAGTGATGCTGTGCCACCCATTCACTAGTATCCTAGCAACCCATGATGCTGTGCAAGTCATACAGCATCACTGGTTGCTAGGACACAACTGGCTCAGGGTCAGTCCATTTGGGCATTCGCTGAACCTGAATCCCTGACTGGGTTCAGTGAAAGTCCAAACAAAGGCACATTCGGCTCATCGCTATTCAAGAGGAATTCCAGACAAAAGGTGGATTTCTCGGTGTACTGCTGATATATATTTATATATTTTTATGTACAATTATTACTTCCAGATTTTCCCTATAACATAACAAATCTTCACTTTTTAAATGCAGATCCACTTTGCTACAGGAAATGGTTGAAATACAAATAAGATACATATTATCAATATCTCCATCCATCCCATCCTTATGATGGGGGGGCTATAAAGAGGAAATACCTTGGGAAGTCATATATTAAGAAGTGGGCGGGTTATTAAAAAAAAAGGCGGGGCTGACACCAAAAACTTTGTAACAAAAAATAAAGACAGCAATTCAGCATTTTCATTGTATCAGCATCTCCATCCTGTGCAGCTGCCAAACTCAATTCAGGGCGGCGTGACAGCATGTCAAGGTCACATAAGGCTCTTTAACAAGAAGAACGCCATAATCATCAATTGATCCTGACCGTCGCTTGTAAGTGATCGGCGGACGTCGCCCTTGCAGAACGCGCAGAGAGGAAATGTAAACTGGGAAGGAAATCTCAGCAATCTCCTCCGGTTTCCTCTGATCATTTCCGCCCTGATGAGAATAAAATGGCTTCTTAAAGGGGAAATCGGATCTAATTACAAAGGGGAAAATGTTTCCAAATGAGGAAAGGGGAAGACACTTAAAGGATAAGTCCACGTTTGTGACATATTTCATTTTAGACCCATTTTTAGAGTGTAACATGAAACATGGTTACATTCCCCTATCCCCCCCAAGACTTGCTCAAGAGACACTCTATAGCAGGCGTGGGCAACTCTGGCCCTCCAGCTGTTGTGGAACTACATGTCCCATGAGGCATTGCAAGACCCTGACAGCCACAGGGGGCTTAACTACAAGCCCGGGACTGGCATCACAGGTGTCGGTGGAATGCGGAAAAGGAGACAGCTGTCAGCTATTGGAGAGGAAACTGAGCTCCAATAGTTTCTTTGGAGTGGAAAGGTGACACTAGGGGTCTAACTAGGGGTCTAACTGACCCCTAGTGTCACCTTAAAGAGAACCTGGGGCAAGAAAATGTTTGTCCGGGGGTCTAATCAATATTAAAGATGGCCTGTACAGGCACGATGGCAGATGCATGATGGGATTTGTATTGAAAGCACAGCTGGAGGGGCGGAGTTGCCCACCTCTGCTCTACGGGACTCTCCTCCACTCCTCCCTCAGCAGCTACACAAAAAGGTTATGAATAAGGGGAGGGAAGGAGGAGAGGGCTATGATGTGCAAGAAGGGTGGGGGCTGGGCTAGGGAATTGATTCGTATTGCAGTAGTCAAATTTTCTACCAAGCTCAATGGCCCATTGCAAGTGAATAACAAAAAAATGATGGAGAGGAAAAACTCAAGTAAGAATTTTTTCTTTCGAAACGTACCGATCTCCCGTTTGGCTCTCATTGTGAAAACGTTCAGCAGTAAATGGGAACAGTTTGTAAGCAGGTTGAAATTTGTAATATGTTTCTGTTACTTTTTACACTACGGGGTTTATTGATAAACAGGGCCCTGCGAATATCCAGCGAATGTTCCTTCTATGCAGATATAAGCCCAAAATTATTATTATTATACAGGATTTATATGGCGCCAACAGTTTGCGCAGCGCTTTACAATATAAGGAAGACATTACAATTACAATACAATTCAAGACAAGATGGTAAGGAGGGCCCTGCCCCTGAGGGCTTACAATCTATGCGGGAGGGGGAAGTGATACATGAGGAGGAAGCTGTGTGGGGATGAATTGTATGAGAACGTCATGGTTGAGTAGTTAGTTTGAGGCTGGATAGACTTCCCTGAAGAGATGAGTCTTTAGGGGACGCCTAAAGGCAGTCAAAGTGGGAGATAGTCGGACTGGTTGAGGTAAAGAGTTCCAGAAGATGGGAGAGACTCTAGAGAAGTCCCGGAGGCGAGTATGGGAGGAGATGACAAGGGAGCTGGAAAGCAGAAGGTCTTGGGAAGAGCGGAGGGGGCGGTTAGGGTGATATTTTGAGACAAGGTATGATGAACATCCTGCATATTTTTTCTTTACAAGTGGAATGAGCTTTCGAATGTTTTCATGTAATACCACATTATGGCCACTAGATGGAGCTAAAGCAGCACAGGATATAAGTATTTATTTTCTATGCTCCTCAGCGCTACTTAGTGGCCATACTGTGATATTACACGCAAAAAAAACCAAAAATTTAAAGTACATTCCCTTGTAAAGAAACTAAAGAACATTTGTTTTGTCATATATCCTCACAGAACGAACGTTCCCAGATTATTATCAAAGATGGTTTATAAATGGACTCTAGTATGTCTAGTAGTCCCGGGGTAATAAAATGTATTTTTATTGCACGTCTAGATTCACAATAAAATGATGAAACGGGAGTACTAACGAACATCCGACTTCATTCCTTGTGTGCTGGTTGCCTTTCACGTGGCTGGCAGCTTTGGGAATTATTTGTGCGGTTGCTGTTGTTCTAAGGTG